GGTAATCTGTGTGTCGTTCGAAGTCAAGTCACCCTGGAGGAGAGTGGAAAACGTGTGAGGGATGGCAACAGCCCTCCGCGACACACCTGGGGAGTACGTCCCCCAATAATTCTCGCTTAACGACGCCGCAACAGCGGCTGAAGTCGGTAACCAGTGTTACTCAGACGTTGGTGAACCTCGCCAACTCTACCGTGTCATACTGATGCTGGTTCGGCATTGTGAGACCCACCACCGAAAGGCCGCGGAGTTGACGAACGAAAACCTGGCTGGCGCCCGATTGAGGACGATGGAGACAACAGCCAGAATAGTTTGAGGATTATTCCGCGATGTTGGCCCGAGAAAAATCCTCTTACAAAATCCATGAACATTTATACATTCAAAAATATCGGAGTCCGTAGTCTAAAATCGAAGCAAGTAAGATAACGCAAATTCCGTGAAAACTACCCGCGAAAAGCTAAAGCCGATAACGAATGGAACGGAAGCGGAAAGGCCGGGATTGCTCAGGAGGCTAGGTCGTGGAGAGAGGGCCAGGGTCCACAAATACGCAAGTCTGACATAAATATTAACTAATAATACAGAAAGGAAAAGATTTGAAGGTACGAACGCTGTAGAATACTATTAACAAATTCGTGTGAGAATCCAGGGCGCCGATAATGCCCTTGCGTTTATCTTCATCGAAAGCTTCTGTCATCGTAGCCGAAGCGTCGGGAAAGCACGGAGCTCCCTCGACGCCGCGGTGGACTGACTACTAGGAATGCTTAAAATATAGACAGAAAACCGGGAAGGTTAACCCCAAGTCTAGAAAGATTTTGACCGAAAACCATCCGGAGAGACTCTGCCCGGACTCTGTGAGTAAGGGTGAAGTGTAGGTTCATACCATGCTCTTCTCCACTTTGGACTTACGACTAGGTGGGGTTGCCGTGCTGTCCCTGTCGCAGTGTGAATATTCCTGAAGTGAGCTTCTACTGGAGCGCGCCGAATCCAAACGTCGGCACTGACTCCTTCGGACAAGTCCTCTAAATGATATGCCGGTGAATGCTTCAATGACAAGGAGCGACCGCGGAAGACAAGTGAGCCCTTCAATGGTTCACGGGTCGATTGAAATTATCCAGATCAACTTGCATCGCAGCAAAAGTGCTTCGGCCATACTTTCCCGGACGTTTGCTGGGATGCAAACAGCCATAGCTCTCATGCAAGAACCGTGGTTGGTGGATATGACTGTCAGAGGTCTGGGAGGATGTGGGAGATTATTCCACATGAACCCCAGGAAACACACAATAAGGGCAAGCGTCCTGGTCAAAGGGATGGATGCTACTCTCATACCGCAGCTCAGCAAAGGGGACTTGGCCGTAGCCAAGTTGAAAGCCCAAATGCGTGAGAATGACACGTTGGAATATATGATAGGATCAGCTGACCTACCTTATGACTCCAATGGACCCCCACCAACACCTGAGGGGGCGCTGATGGCCAGAGTGAAGGACGAGGGAACAGAACTTCTGCTTGTTTGCGATGCGAACTCACACTATCTGGGGTGAGGAAGCTTAAACACCAATGCCAAGGGAGAAGCCCTATACGACTTCATGATGGTCAACGACCTGCTAATCCTGAACAGGGGGAACGAGCCTACCTTCACAGATTGTAGAAGCCAGAAAGTGCTGGATATCATAGCAAGCATGGTGGACTTGGTTAGAGACTGGACGGTCTCTAAAGAACCTTCGGGCTCTGACCATGATCAAATACGCCTTAAGCTGAGTGGAAGAGTGGAAGCTATTCGGAAAAGAAATCCGAAAAAAACGCACTGGGCGAGGTACAAGGAGGAACTCTTACTGAGAATCCAAGACGTACCCAGCAGGTTCGAGAACAAGGAGCAACTGGAATATACGGCCGAATCTTGCGGAGAAGCAATGAGAAGCTCTTTCCAAAACAATTGTGCAATGCGCGCCATCAAAGGAACCAAACAGGTGAGCTGGTGGAACGCAACCCTAGCTAACCTGAGGGGCCAGGTAGGGAGGGCGTGGAAAAAAGCTGCGACGTGAACAATCGGAGTGGTGTAAAGACACAAAGATCTGCAGGAATGCCAGGGCAATCATGCCTGGCCCCAGCAAGAAAAGATCGAAACACCTACTGGCCATGGACAGGAAAAGTCTGGACACTACGATCAGGCTGCTTACAGGACATGGCAGATTTAAAAAAACATTGCAGAGTCATCAGCATCAGCTCGGATGGGTGGTGAAGATTCTGTAATGAAGCAAAAGAGGACAGTCTACATATCTTATCTGACTGTCCGGCTCTAGCAGCGACGAGACTGCGCTAGTGGGGAACTGCCTTCCCCACCGCAAATCAAGCTGCGAACAAGGATGCAACGGATCTGTTAAGACTGGCAACCAAGGTTGGGCTGGACATATAATGCGAGCATAAAATGAGCAGAGCTACAATAACCCTAATCTGGGTTCGATGGGATTGGGGAGGCTAGTCCGACCATCCGCGTACTTAAATCTAATCTAATCTATGTTTTTAGGAATGTCTTTTTTAAGGCAAATTAACATTTAAGTAGGGCCTCTGGGAGCCTCCTCTCAACAACGCGTATCAGAAAAGAACGTTTACTTATCCCTCCGGCACTATCAATATTTTTCATGTCTATAATACCTTCGGTCGTGGTAAAATCCACGACATTGAGACCTATTGAGAAGACGAGAGGCCAAAATATTTTCGGGGACCTGGAGGAGTTCACATGACCTGAATGATGAGAACCAGAGGGAGGATCCAGCGACAGCAATGGGCCCTGCCGGAGCCCGTGTTGTTTAGACGGGCACAAGATGTCTCCAACCAAAGATCCAACGTCTCCAGTTGTTAGAGGTATTTGGCTCAGGTAATCCTCGTCTGAGGAACGACCTGGAGAGGAGACGTCTCCACTGCTCTACCAGCCATTGACAACGGAATTTTTAAAAAGCACATTTCACCTGAGAATTACCCCGGGACCGTCACTTTTATGAGTTTTCTACGTTATTGCCTTGATGTTGTTATTCCGGTCTAGCTCGAAAGATTCATCTCCGAGACTCCTCTATTTTTAAAATTGTTTGAAATTCAGGAAAACTTATATAAAATATATAGAGAATTATTTTTCGATATATTTAGAATTCATAAGCAAAATTTATAGGAAATTATTTTCACATTTTTGTTCAGTGTATATTCGAAATTATCGTGAAATTTAGAGTCACCTGATTGATGTCGGGTATTACCGTTGTTATGAGTTCTGAGAATTATGGAAGTTATGAGGAAAAACGGCAATCAAACGAGTCCATTGTTCAGACGACTCCATTTTCACATCAATATGGGGAAATTCCTTCCGCCTTTTTGAAGCTCGAACATTGTGAAGCATACCGGCTCAAACTTGAGCAGAGTTACCTTCCGACCGATATAGAGTTGAGTGGAATTTTTGAGAGAGATCATTGTTCTCACAATTGAAGTTGAGTTCTGGGTATTTCGGCGTCCCGGTTCCTGTCCTACCTGGAGGAAGACGTGGTGGCGCGACGGAACAGGTCAGCAGAGTCGAATTATCAATAATTTCTAAGAAAATTTAGCGTGTTTAAGGAGCTCATTGTTGGCCGTGTAATGGCGTCCGTTGTGGCGTCGTTCTGAATGGACGAAAGTAGACAATTTCCATTGAAGTTTAAAGTCGAGTTCTGGAGTTAAGTTTAATATTATTAGTTCGGTTATTCTGATCAGCCAGGATATATCAAATTGAATTAATACATTCAGTAATGTTGTATTATTCATTGTGGGATGGATTCATTCAATCTAGGTTCATTTTATCGTAACGGGAACGCGAAACCCGAAGTCAATATTCTGTGTTTTTTTATGTTCAATTTTCTTTTTCATGCAAATTCTAAAATTTTTCGTTACGAATGGAAAACTTGGGGCTTCTTTGTTGAGATAGAGGAGAATGCCAGAGAGGGGGCATCGTTTCCCCTCTTCATAACAAGCAGGGTCTACTCTTATAAGTGAGCTGCCAGCAATTTTGAGTTTTTGAATTTGTAATTTTGGGTTGAGCCGAGAGGAGTCTTCATAAAACTTTTTCACTGACCAGCGCCCAGAAAAAATTTTGGCTATAGAGTTATTTTTCAAGAAAAATAAAGTTTTGTTTATTCTCTGGAGTAGTGACGTACGTTACAAATTCGTTAATCTCTTCACGTAGTGTCCATGAGTTACAATGTTCTAAGGCGCAAAATGTTTTTAAACATAGTTCAAAAAGTTATGTATGAAACTAATCGTTGGACATTGTACATCTTAAATGAAAAGAAACCTCTGTGAAAAACGTGAATTGCCATCAGCCTCCATCTTAATCGTCGAAAAATATAGAAATGAATAATTATTGCTGTTGCTCATCGCGGTTTCTAAAAATTTGGCTGAATTATTTCCGCGTTAAAATCTATCAATATACCAATTTTCAGCAAAATCTCAACGTTATTTCAATATATGACAGAACTACCTTGAAAACCAATAGCTTCTATTAAAATCTAGTGGAGCTATCGAAATAAAATTTTGTTCTCGACGTGGCCTTGAATAACGCAAAGAGCGGTGTATAAAAAAAATCATAACTCCGAAGGTCGATGGTTCCGCCCAAAGAAGATTGCAGATGCTGAAACAGGTGACAGGAATCTATACACACCTCTACGGAACATTGCATTGGTTGGGTATCTCCATACTAGATACTTATCAAAAAAAGTTTTACAAAGGGCATTATTGAAAGCCTTTGGATTTTTACTTCCGGTCATTATATACAAAAATGTTTCTATTTTCACTCCTCCGGAATCTTGCTCACGTAAGGCTCCACGACGATATGGCAAATTGTATTGAAAAGAAAACTATTTGTTCTATTTATATAGTATAGAATATCCTACATTTCGAAAATAAATACTCTAAATTCGCGATTGTTTGCTATCTTCGTCACATACTGACCCTGCATGTTCCTTCACGTTTCGTGATCATTACTAACTTACCTTCATCTTCTCAGTGTCCATGTAGCACCGTTCACTCAAGGTATGGTCACTCAACTGCACATTCCAAGTACAGTCCAATGTGTAAATAACATGTGGATATTTTTTTATAACCGCATTGATAACATCCTGATCAGCTAAACTAGTGAAATTAGAAATATTCTGCAAAACCTCGTTTGCTGAATCCACCCACAAATCATGAAAATTGTTGATTCTCAAGGCCTTAAGATTCATCAACATAATGCCAGTATTGTATCCCCTGCCTACAGCGGGCCAGGGACGTTGTCCGGTTGCCAAATTTTTCTTGTACCAGTCGCTCTGGTTCTCAGCTAACCCCAACATGTGTAGACTGTTAAATTGATTGAGCAGATCCCAGAGACTGGAGAGATCTGTGAGAATCGTTACATCTGTATCGAGAACTAGAACGTAATCCTCACTCAGCGCTTCGGGAAGAATGAGTTTCAAGAGCCCGTAAACACCTGAGTAATGCTTATTAGGAATCCATGATACTCTAGGAACCCAAGGCTCCACCGGATAAAACGACACATTTACTGAAAAAATCGTAAGGAATCAAAATCATAAATTCAATAATTAATTATATTGAAATAGTTAAGTTGTTTCTTTTCTTACTACAGGTGAGCGTGCGCGCCGCGCGCCTATTGACAGTGATCGGCTCCTCATTCATTTTTAGTTGAGATGTATAATAAAATCAAAAAATTAATTTAATAATAAAATCATTTAAAATTTGATTTGGTAATAATATTTATCCTCGATCATCTTCGATAATTTCAAATCGTATCGAAAAATGAACGGATACTCAAAGACTGTCAATAGGCGCGCGCTCAGTTCTAATATATATATATACTATACACAGACATAGTGTGCATTAGACTTGGTGAAAAATTAACCATATGTTTATTTCGCCTCATATGTTCGAAAGCTGTGTTATAGGCTCAACATCCATTTCTCTCAGTCGAGTCATGGAGGGATTTTTTATCATACGGGAGATGAACGCGCGCTACGCGCGCGTGTGGTTACTTTTGTGGTGCTACTACATGAGTTTCCATTTCATTTTTCAACGATAGATATATAACAATCGGAATTCAAACATTCAGATTCAGACTCTAAGCTAGAATAAGAGAAATTATAAAATGAAAAGGTCCGAAGCACGAAAGAAAAGGAAATCAATTTCAAAATAAAAATAAAGTAAATATATATATAAATATATATAATATATAATATTATATATACTTCTATTGAGTAAACCGGTTCCACAAAATCTTACACGGCTGGCGGAAACAATATCCCGGAAAAAATATCCCCGAAAAAAATATCCTCGGAAAAACTATCACCGGAAAAAATATCCCCGGGAAAAATATCCGCCCAATCATACATTTCATTTCTGTCGCCCTTTTTTTTATGTACATATTTTCCCAAAGGGATGGTGGGGCGTAGGGAGGTGGGGGGGGGGGGGGCGAAGCCCCCTCCCACTCCTCACATAACACATTAAATGAAAATTTGAGAAAAAAAAACATGATTTAATTTTATGGGGAATCGAACCCTTAACCCTTTTATGTGTCATAATAAATAAAGGCATTTTTTTCGAAAATGCATTTTGTGATTCACCCGCTTCCCCTCTATCCTTTATATTAACTAATTTTTATTAATTAAATTATTAAAATTAGGATTTTTAAATATTTATAATTAGGAATTAAATATTAGAATTTTTCTTGTGGATAATTTTTCCGGGGATATTTGTTCTGGAATATTTTTTCCAGGGATATTTTTTCCGGGGGTATGTTTTCTAGGGATATTTTTTCCGGAATTTTTTTTCCGGGATTTTTTTTCCGGGGATGTTTTTTCAGGGATTCTGTTTACACGCAGAATTAGAGAACAACGGGTCACTGACAATATCTTTCGATAATTTAAAGTTGTAAACACGCCAGTACGTATGGAATTGTAGATCGGTCAACATGAAACTCGGTAAGCGAGTTTGTATTCGAGAGAAGCGTCCCAGCAGAGAGAAGAATAACAGCGTGCCTTGAGACAATTTTCAGGCATTACACCCTGAGTCCTGACTGAACTTACATACACGAAAGTGGGCCATCCACTGAGGGGTCACGAGATTGCTGCGTGCGAGCTCGGTATGGGTATGAACACAATATTATATAATTTTTAATTATAATTTAATTACAGAATTTGCTGCAGGAAAAGCAGCGGGGTGTTTATAAGCGTATCGGGCATCTACGCCACAAATTAAAGGTCATCGATTGCGTCCACGATCGAGGTGTAGCTGCCAGGTGGGTAAATAATAATAATACCTCTTTGTATTGTCCGTGATCTTCAAATGTATCAACATGTGTTGTTATGGGGCCGACAACCGCTACGTCCTCGCCGTGCGCTGGGTAGCGCAAAGAGCGGTATATAAATTACAACGTAGGGAGGAAACTATTTTTTTCCCCCACATACGGTTTTCGGATTCAGGAGCTGAGAAAGTATCGATCCAGATGAAAATCAGTAACAATATCAGTATCAGTAACTGACGGGCGAATGGGGGGGGGGGTGTGGAAGTAATAGACATTTACCAAAATGGTAATATGTAACATAATGTAATATAGACTTTCGATTTATTCTTAAATGACTGCATGAACGTTGTCATTTAGGAATATATGTACCCTAGGATATTTTCGTAACAATACTGATGGAAAATATTCCCAGAGAGGTTAAGAGAATTATAACAATTTCAAAATATTTTGGGAATTTTAAGATTTGTTACTTTTTTTCTCCCAGAAACAAACTTTAACAATTCGCATCGTTCGAAATGATCCACGTATTACCTGAGAATGTGAGGGGAATTATTTTCCATGGTTGTAAACGACAATAGTAATTTATGCTACAAGAGCTAAAACGTATTTTGGGAACATATTTTAGCAAAATGTTGATCAAATATATTGCTAAAATGCTTTTCAGACCGTGTGACATGTGTTACTTTGTGTTACCGAGTTAGAGCAGGCTGAGTAACATAAATAAATTCTTTCTTAGCTTGAAATAATTCTTGCACGTAGTTTCCGATTCAACGATAGATGTACTATTGGATTGGAGGATGCTCATCAGAATGTTTCCCTCTTTTTCATGTTTTTTTCTTTTCAGAAAACGGTTATCGTGATTTTAACCTTCGTCTTTAGCCACGCTCTGTTGTGGTGAGTCATACGCTAATCACTATTCTAACGCTGTACTCGTATTTGAACTCATAACTTACGACGGAAGGTGCAATTTACTTTCTTCTCAAGAACAATTTATTTTTTTTTGTCCACCATATTATATGCGTTTTTAGTTTCAAATTCAAAATGAATGACTATTGTAAGCTTTCATTTTTTCACTTATTTCATAATTTTCCGAGGTGTAGTTACGTAATCATAAATATTCTCCAACTCTACAAACAGATGCAACGACTGAATGAACCTTTATCGCGTTGATGACCTCAGTCGAAGTTCAATGATGCAATTTCCATCTTCACGTGCTAATTCAATGGGAAAACAATTTTCTCAATGAACATAGTAAAAAAAAACCGCTGATAACCCGAGATAGGCATCTGAATGTAGAGCATATAGTACACATTTCTCGTGAATGCCACGTGAAAAAACAAATGTATCACAGAGTTTTTACAAGGTCTAGAATACATACATAATACACATATGGAGTGTGTCAAATTCTATACGAAGTTGACCATTTTTGAAAGAGTTTGAAAGAGAAAGTTAACCATTTTTGAAAGAGTTTGAAAGAGAAAAATCTTTTCGGTCTGGCCAAAAGTTTTCCATCCTTTTCTACCCCATGAGAAACATTTTTTAGAATTTTCCCAAAACATTTCACACAACACAAAAAAAGTTATGAATTAAAAAAATAAAATTTTTCTTATTTTCAAATAGCCTTTATTAAAATTTAATACATTTTTTCAAAAAAAATTTTGTTTTTGAACCTGAGACGAATTAGGATGAAAAAATACGTTGATTTTCAGAAATAAGATATCCTTAACATTAAACACAAAGGTGGATGATGAGAACAAGGAAAATCTCTCATTCCGGTCACCCAGACATTGCAACAACAGTTCCACAGAGTTGTAAGAACTCTGTGATCAGCAATTCCACGGTCAGCTAGAAGTCCAGTTCTAGGTATGGCGAGCTCTTGGACTGCCTTGGCAGTGGTGATACCGAGAACACAATAATGGCAACTGCCGGTGAGACTGCTCAGCTCAGCAAGTTAGGACTTGGAAACAGCTTTGAAGACATCGTGAGAACTCTGGAGATATCAGAGTACGATCGGGAGTTAACCAGAGTGGTCCTCTGAACTCCAGGCCTTAAGTCAGACGAGTTAGACGTTCAAGTCTCTTTCAGTAATACCGCGTAATAATTATCGTGTATTTTAATCCTTATAGTCGATATATCATCATTAAGATCCGTTAATCTTATCCGTTAATTACGCGAGTAGTTAATCCTCCACGAAATTCTCCCCAATCCTACGCCAACGACCTTCCAAGTGAGGGAATCCCTCGTCAGCTCGATGTAGAACTAGTCGAGGAAGAAGTTAAAAATTAGTTGAAATTTTTTTTTAGGAAAAAAAAGTAAAATAAAAATGGCGTACTCCAGACAAACAACGGGTTTTTTCAAAAAAGGTGGAAATTTTGTATTTTTTTGTATTTTTTTCCGGACAATTAATTCACAAATAAAAATCTTCAAAAAAAAGCTACCAAAAGGTCAAGTTTTGAATAGTGATGACTATTGCAAAATAAAAAAAAACACTTTTTGAACAATTCATAACTTCTTTTGCGTTAAGTAAAACTTTTTTAATTCTAGGAAACTTTCTTGATGGTGGAGAAAAGGATGGAAACCTTTCCATTAAACCCAAGGTGTCAGGTTCAAGGGTGGTCGGTTTGGAATGGAATACTCTATACATAGTATATGCGCAATAGTCCAGCAGTTGCCAAGTACGAAACGTATATAGGCACGTATGGTAAAAATGGATTGCTGACAAAAAACGTTAGGAGTTTTTTTTTAAGCAGGGTAAATATCCTGCAACGATTGTGGTCAAATATTGGATCTTTTGTCGCGGATCGCGGGTCTCAGAAATGAACCAATAGGCCACGCATTTCTGCAAAAAAAAGACACAATAAACAGACGCATACCCACCGCCGAATATCATAGGAAAGAGGCGAGATATTATTTCTATACATTGCCTTTGGATATTATTCCAATAATAAAATTCCATTGTCATCTCACCGCACGTGCACAAGGGCGGCCAATCGGACTGACCTAAGACCTGAAGGGGGAATACGAAATGCCCAATCCAGGAAAGAGTATAAAAGACACCCACCACTACCGCATAAATCCGGGCTTCTACGCATCTTCGCTGCGACAAAAAGATCTTTTAGCATTGAAAATATGAAATTATTCGAAAATGAAGGGACCGTTATCCGTAAAGAAATCTCTTCTTATGCTGATAACGATTGACCAATTGGATATTGACGGATTCTCAGAAAAAGCTCAGAAACCGACTT